TACTTGTTAGCACTTTACCACCTGAAAGGGAATTGTCTATATAGGTACAAATTTTCGTATAAACCCCATATAACGGTATCCCCCGATATTCGGGATTTTGACGATTTTAGCCACATATTCCAATGGAATGGTCTGAAAATCCGCACAACGAAAGGGAATTATCTATATAGGTGCACGATATCATATAGTCCACATATAACAGTACCCCCCGATATTCGGTATTTTGATGATTTTAGCCACATTTTTCAACGGATTGTCTGAATTCTACACAAGGGGTTCTTTGTGAACACTTTACCTCCTGACAGTTCGACCCGGCCGAACTTACTGCTTTTTTACTTGTTTTCAGTAAATATTGGTCTCTGACGAATATTTAGATGTTTAACAAACATCCAAGATGGAGGGTATAAAAAGAAGGCACGTGTATCGGCGTTTTGAAAGTTTACATCGAAAAGTAACAATAAAGACGGGGCAAGATCTCCCTCCCTCCTCCACATTTTCGGAAATTTTCGGTTCAAGATTTCTCGGAATCCATGCATTTCAAGTATATAATGCCTGCGGCAATATTGCAGATAAAATTACGGGGAGTATTTTGGTCGAAAATGTTAAACTTCAAGTAACATAAAATTGGGTTTTAGACGGATGGTGTCGACAAAAGGAATATTTTACACAAAATTTCATAATAAATTACAGCTCATGTAAAAGGTAAGATAGTCTTTATGAAAATTACATTCAAAATTATGTACTAAAATTTAAAATTATTTGTCGAATCCGAGAAAAATATCCCCTTATATTTAATTTTTATTTCTATTTTTTTTTTTTTTTTTTTTTTTTTTGAAAAATTCAAAGTAGGAATTATTTTAGATCTTGTGAGTCTCTGAACAAAAGAAATTTGCAAAATAATATTCGTAAAATATCTAATATTGGGAACATTAACCATTTAACAAAACCTACCGATGTAAGGTACCTTAAAGGTTTTTTATAAATTTTCCAGCCATATTACCTTACATTTAAACAGTCCAAAACATACCAATTTCAAAATTTTCCATCAAGATGCCGAAAATTTTATGATCTCCTTTAACGAACAGTTCAATGTTTTCATATTAGCCCTATATAGCGGGTCCAGATGTTTTTATGTTTTCGTTTAAGTCTATTTTCTCATCTGAACCAGCATTAATTTGATATTTGGAAATTATGTAAAACAAGACCCAGTCCCCAATAGTTGTTTGAGAAAATCGATTGATTTTCTTTAATCAAACACAAATTTTTATATTGAAAAACAATTAATTTTTTTTATTTTACGAAGGTTAGATAAATTATAAAAAGCAAAATCAACAAATAAAAGTAACAGAACTCATTATTTAATACCACTTATTAACTTCATATTTTTCCGATGTGGAACACAAATTGGGATATTGGGAATTTCTACCCGAAGTGCATGAAGATGCGGGAGAACTGCAGCTCTTATAGATGGGGAAACCCAACATATTGGTGGTGGCATAATTACAGGCAATCAAGAAAATCTGTCTATCCCCAGAAATTCTGGTGTCATCGTAAGTGGCAGCAGCACAACCCACACGAACATTGCGATCTGCCATCATTACTGTGAAATGGCCAATCATACTGAAAAATAAGAAAAAAATCGAAATAAAAATAAAATGGTTAATATATTCCAAATTTCCAACTCACGGTCCACTATAGCCAACCGGGAAATCATCAATGTAAGACATTTTCACATCCTTTACTTCATCATACCACATGGCAAAGGATTTTTGGAAAAGTGTACTGTAACTTTGTTTACCCCAGAATGATCTCCAGGCCAAGTTTTGTCCAGCATATTGGAAGGTTTCAGTGTTGCGACACTTGTCATGAGACATCTTACATTGCAGGACATTATAGGCAGCAACTTTAGCCAATTCATCATCCCATTCCATGGTGGCCATACGACAAGCAGGTGCAAGACCATTGACACCACCACCAGCTACCAAATTACGTTTTTCATTGTGGGCACGAACGATTTCGGCTTTTAGATTGTTGTCGATGGTGACGAAAGCAGCATTTGAGGGACATGAGCTGGCAAATTGCTGAAATTGGATGTTCATTTGTCATTAAAATAAATGTTTTTGATACGGAAGTCAAGTTAATCCTTAGGGACCTTTCGAGGATTATAGAATTATTGTTGTACTCAGCTTCTGCACATACCTTTTTGCCACAGGCAACGTGTGTCACTCCTTTATTGCACAAATCTGTTGAACAATAATCGGTGGCCAAAGCCGAAGCAATAACCGTGCCGATAATTAAAATTTTGACAAACTGATTCATTTTCACCTCTAAGTATCTATAATTCAAACTCCAGATGTTGTTGAACTGATAGAGAACTGTTGAAAATTCACCCCTTAAGTACTAAAAAAAATTGACAGATGGTTCTAAGATATTTTTAAGATCAAGGCCATTACAATATACGTTAATAATATCATTTAAATGTAACAGCTACAGATGTTTCTCAGCGCGGTCTAACACCTGTTCTTCTAGAACGAAAACAAATAGATACTGTTTATCTAAACTCTGTTAAGCTGTTTGTCTGCTCTTTTCTTGACAAGAAAATATTTATTTAACCCTGACAAAGCGTATTTCAAATATAATGGAAGTTTTTGGAAATTATTTCTTAATAATCTAAAAAATATTCTGATTTCTCTTCTCAATTGTGAAATGGATGATTGTAAATACGAAAATAATTATTTCCAGTATTTCTTTTAAACTTCTAATTTAAATATGACATTTCTCTGGACCTGATTTGTACAGGTCCAGCCATGGTACAAAACCTATGATCTTCCCAACTTTTTGATTTTTTATCCTGACCCATAGTGGTTTGTCATTCCGTTTTTATACCCTCCAATATAGTATGAAGGGTATATTAAGTTTGTCATTACTTTTGTAACACCTCGAAATATACATTTCCACCAGTCTGTCCCTCTGTGGAAATCTATCTCTCTATCTTCCTAACGAAATGAAGAAGGTTGATAAAATTTTACTCAAATGCAGGTCTTTTGGTATTGAAAATGTACAATGAAGGTCCACGTTTTGGTATAGCCCCCATATAATGGTACCTCCCTATTTTCGGTATTTTGAATTTCGGTGCAAGAATTTATTTATTATTTTCGACATTTTTTGCTTTCATTCAATAAAATTAAAAAAAAAAAATAAATGCAAAAATTATGGCGTTTGGCTTTGTTGCAAACTATTGGTCCACTCATTTTCGAACCTCGATCAAAAAATGTTAAGGTTTTGAACATACTTTAATGCCATTCCGTTTGTAGCGCCTCGAAAAAAATCGAAACATTTTTCAACAGAATTATCTTAAATCTTTGTGCTTTGAGTTCGAAATATGCACTGACTTTTCTGGCAGAAATTCATAACAAGTAAAAAATCTGTAACTTCGGCCGGCCCGAACTTTGAACACCCTCCACCATTTGGAGCGAATTTGGAAATTTAAAAAAAAAAATAAAATCTGTTAAAAATTCTGTTAAAATCTTAAAAATACCGAATGTAGCCGTATGTATACAACGTGGATGTGCATAGGCAACTTTTGTCATAAGCCATTTTAATATTCAAATGCGAAATATGAAAGAAAATTCGGTGAAGAATGTAGCTGAAATCATGAAATTACCATATATAGGGATGTACCATTATACCGAAACGTGGACCTGCACCAGCAATTTTCTGTCATATGCTGTAGTATCCATTGCGAACTTCAAATACCAAATTTGAAACAATTCCGGTGAATAATGTCACAAAAATCATCAAAATACCGAATATCGGGAGGTACCATTATATGGGGCCTATACGAAGACATGGACCTGCACAAGCAATTTTCTGTCTTAGGCTGTAGTATCCACAAATACCAAATTTGAAACAATTCCAGTAAACAGTGTCGCTAAAGTCATGAAAATACCGCATATTTGGGGGTACCGTTATAAGAGGGCTACACGAAGACGTGGGCCTGCACAGACAATTTTCTGTCTTAGGCCTTATTATCAATTACAAAATTCAAATACGACATTTGAAACAATTCCGGTGAATAATGTCGCTAAAATCACCAAAATACCGAATATCAGTAGGTACCGTTATATGGGGGACATACGATATCGTGAACTTATATAGACAATTCTATTGCAGGCGGTAAAGTACCCACAAAAACTCCATTCCATTGAAATTGGGGCTAAAATCACCAAAATACCGAATATCGGGTTGTACGAAAATTAAATTGCATTAAAATGTGGCTAAAATCATTTAAATCCGAATATAGGGAGGTAACGTTATAGGGGGAATATACGATATCGTGAACCCATATAGACAATACTCTTCTAGGGGTTGAAATACCCAGAAGGAACTCGAGGTGTGGAGTTTCGGATAATTATATTGAAAAATATGGCTACAATCATCAAAATACCGAATATCAGAAGGAACTCCTGGCGTGGATTTTCTGACAATTCCATTCAAAAATGTGGTTAAAAACGTCAAAATTCCAAATATCTGTGGGTACCGTGGGGGCTATGCGATATAGTGAACCATCTTCGAACTTGACCTTCCAGCACACAAAAGACTGATCTCTGCAAACTTTTAGCTTCCTGTCTTAATTCGTTTTGACTCTAGTGTAATTACAACAGAAGGACTGACATGGCTAAATTGTCTTAGAATTTTACGCTGATCTTGTTAGGTCTAAAATTATTATTTTATAAATTACGAACGGAATGACGAACTTAATAGACCCTCCCTACTATGTATGGTGGAGGGTATAAAAAGTTATTTGGCGGACCCAAGGACGATTCCATATTTACCTCAAGGACACAAGCAAAAAATTCAAAGTTCAGTTCGCGGCGACTTTGTCCATCGGGAAACTTATTTGCTCATCCACGTTTATTTATCTGCAAAGTTGGGTTAATATACCTCAGACTTTGCCCATATGTGTATTACAGTATTGTTTTATTGGATGTCAATTTTGACAGTTAAATTATTTTTACGTTCCAATTATTTCCCAAATATTTTTCTAAATTAGAAACAACAAATAAACTAGAGCCTCAATCAAGCTAATTTAGTAAATTCTCGTTGTTTGTTCAAGTGCTGAGTTCCAAATACACCATGTGGGCCACATAGAAATGAGTTCATCGAACATTCATGAAAATATTACAAATAAATTGTATTTATAATTGGATCTATTTTAATCGTAAATATTTATCTATGATGACAATGAATAAACATTTGTTCAAAAATAACTTCGTCTCAAGAAACTATAGGAGACATAACTTCATAAAAATAATCTGGGATCATACCAAACCCAGAGTCAGACTTGTGTTCGAACTTAGGGAACATCTCAGCATTACACGGGAAAATGAAATTGACAATTATTTTGATGGGATTTCTTGCTCAACAGTTATTCGGTTCAACAAATGCAAATTATTGTGCCTCGAACTTGTGCCCTGCTGGAGTGAAGCATGTTGCGTGCAAAAACAAGGGGGTAAGATTGGCAACCATACAGTTTTTAATTTTTCTAATTTTAACAGCATAAATCTTATTTTTTAAGAATTTTTATAAGAGCTGTCCAAAGGATGCTACCATGATACGAATTGGACCCAAACTCAGGAACCTCATTGTCAATGTTCACAACAAAAGACGTAATCGTATTGCCGGTGGCAAGGTGTCTAAATTTAGGCCAGCTTGTCGTATGGCCACAATGAGATGGAATGCCGAACTGGCTAAAATAGCTTCGTACAATGTACGTCAATGTAAGATGAACCATGACAAATGTCGCAATACACAAAGATTCAAGTTTTCGGGTCAAAATTTGGCCTGGAAATCATATTATGGTAAACCAAATAGAGCAGAGCTAATAAAAGCTGTCATTAATGCCTGGTATTCGGAAGTTAAGAGCACCAAAAGGACTCATATTCAATCCTATCCGACGAATTATAAGGGACCGTAAGTAAATGGAATATATTATTTTTGGGCAATATTTATTAATTTTTTTCGATCACTCCTTAGTGCCATTGGCCATTTTACAGCCATGATGGGTGAACGCAACATTGCTGTGGGCTGTGCAGCATCTACGTATTCCACCAAAGGTGCTAAATACAAGTCATTTTTAGTGGCCTGCAATTATGCTACAACAAACATTTCCAAGAAACCCGTCTACCGAAGTTGCTCTAGAGCAACGGCCAGATGTAAAACGAGACGAAATAGCAAATATCGAAATTTGTGTTCCCCTAAAGAACGCTACAATGTCAACAATTGGTGAATATTTGTTTATGTTTTGTTATGTAAGTTAAGTTCCATTGAGATTCTTAAATTCAATCAATAATTTGATATTATTTTATAAGAGTTTAGTTATTTTTTACTTTTTTACTTAATAAAATATATCATAAATAGTATGAAAACCATTATAAATAATAAACAAGTTAAAAAGCAGTAAATTCGGCCGGGCCGAACTTTGAATATCCTCCACCATTTGGAACGAATTTAGAAATTTTCAAAAAATATAATCTGTTAAAAATTCTGTTAAACTCTTAAAAATACCGATTATAGCCGTTATATTGGGGACTATAAGAATATAGCCGTTATATTGGGGTCTACATGGGCATTATTTGTCATAAGTCATTATCATATTCAAATTCGAAACTTGAAATAAACGGTGAATAATGTAGCTAAAATCATTAAAATACCGTATATGGGGAGGTATCGTTATATCGGAGCTATACGAAGACCTGGACCTGCAAAGACAATTTTCTGTCATAGGCTATTGCATCTATTACGATCTTCAAATACGACATATCAAACAATTCCGGTGAGTATTGTACCTAAAATCGTACCAAGACCTGGACCAGCATAGACAATTTTCTGTCGTAGGCTGTAGCATCCATTACGAAGTTCCAATACGACATCTCAAACAATTTCGGTGGGTATTGTACCTAAACACATCGAAATACCGAATTTAGGGAGGTACTGATATATGGGGCCTAAACGAAGACCTGGACCTGCATAGACAATTTTTTGCCACAGACTGTAGATCCCATTACGAATTCTTATATAAATTCTAAACAAGTTAAAAAATTAGCTAAGTTCGGCCAGGTCGAACTTTGAAAAAATTTTAAAAATTTAAAATCAGTAAGGAAAAGTCAAAAGTTGGGCGGGGCCGACCATATGATACCCTACACCAAAATGCATATTTAGTAGAGCTTCCGTAACAAAATTATATATTTCAAGTAGATAATACCACCTATCAACATTTGGCTTCAGAGCAGTTACAGTTTGCTATAAAGTGCATGATATCACTTCGAGAAGGACCAACACCTACCAGCATTTGGCTTCAGAGCAGTTATAGTTTGCTAGAGAGTGCATGATATCACTAAAAAATATATATCGGAGCCGAGTTTCACGAAATGGAAACGTACGTCCCGAAATTCACTTCACTTGGGCTGATATTAGACATTATTTGCACAATAAACCTGAAATCGGATAAAGGCTATATATGGGAGCTATATCCAAGTCTTAGCAGATCTCGATACAATTTGGAAAAGTTATATCCGAGCTCTGTAAAATATCTGATACCAAATATCATTGTTGTCGAATGCATATATATATATATATATATATATATATATATATATATATATATATATATATATATATATATATATATATATATATATATATATATATATATATATATATATGCATTCGACAACAATGATATATCAAATTTGTCAGAGCCATTTCTGGACTGTATTTGATTACTGGTACCAAATACCATTGCTGTGGAGTATATATTACGCATGTGAAGGACTTAAAACCCCAAATCGGATGAAACATATATATGGGAGCTATAGCTATACCAACTTTGAGGATGTACCAACTTTGAGGTCATTTGGACTTATATTGGTGATTTGGTACACAATTAACCCGAAATCGGTTGAGTTTATATGGGAGCTATATCTAAATCTGATCCGATTATCACCAATTTCAATAGGGTTCGTTCTTGCGCCAAAAAAATATTGTTTGCAAGATTTCATCTCAATCGGATAATAAATGCATTTGCATTTTGTTCACAAGACATAACTAACTATGGGTCTATCTCGCTTCTTTATCCATGTTACAAACAAATGCACAAAGACCAGTAGCTGATGTAGGGTATTATAATAATAATTCCGTCGAAAAATGCCGTTCAAATGAAGGGCTATACGAGGACGTGGTGCTGGATACTATTTTTTGGCATAGGCTGTAGTAACGGTTCCGAACCCCATATACGAAATTCGAAACAATTCCGGTAAATAATGACGCTAAAATCATTAAAATGTCGAAAAGTGGGAGGTACCGTTATATCGGAGCTATACGAAGACGTGGACCTGTATAGAAAATTTTCTGTCACAGGCTGTAGCATCCATTACGAACTTCAAATACGACATCTCAAACAATTTCGGTGAATATTGTACCTAAAATCGCAAATACGATAGGGAGGCACTGAGAAATGGGGTATATACGACGACGTGGACATGCATAAACAATTTTCTGTCAGTAGACTGTAGTGTCCATTTCGAACTTCAAATGCCAAAATTGAAACAATTCCGGTTAATAATGTCGCTAAAATCATCAAAATAGCGAATATCGGGAGGTACCGTTATATGGGGGGCTATATAAAAACGTCGACCTACATGACTCATTTACGAACATAACTTGCCTACTGGAAAATAAACATGAGTGCAAAATTTTAGCCGTCTATCTCAATTCGTTCGAAAGATAGCGTGATTACACCAGACAGACGGACATTACTAAATCGACTTAGAATTTTACGCTGATCAACTTCTACTTTGTTGGGTGGTATTCGTTGAAATTACCCATTTCGAAAAAGGCAATGTTGTATCCAATTGTGCCGAAATTTCGAAAATCGGAATAAACCAGAGGATTTGATATGAGGAAAGTTAAATAACACAAATAAGCGTTATGCTTGTTTTTCAAAATCCGTGAAATACATTGCTGGCATATTTTAGAAATTAGCTTTCTTCAAAAGTGGAAATAGAGCTTAAGTCAGTACGACTGTAGCTCCTTACAAATTAAAATTGAAATCCTGTCATACGTTTGAAAATATCGATTTATATACCTACAGCCCACTGTGGTAAGGGTATTATGTCTTTGTGCATTTGTTTGTAACATGGAGAAGGAAGCGAGATAGACCCATAGTTCCTTTGATGATCTGCATATAATGATATTCTGAGTCGATTTTTACATGTTCGTCCTTCTGCCCGTTTGTCCATGTATTTTTGTAAACAAATTTACTGTCTGATTGAAATCTATCTACAAATCAGTAGTTAGGTCCAAGGACGAACCCTATTACAATTAGTGATAAGCGGTCCAATTTTAGATAAAATCTTCGTCCGATTTCAATTTCTTGGGGCAGCACATCCAATAGAATACAAGCCTAAAAACAATTATTTAAAATTCATGGATATTCAAAATGTTGACCGTTTGTGTGGGCGGTGCCAGAAGGAGTGGACCGACATACCCCATCTTCATAGCAGATCTTGTGTTAGCAGAAATAATGGTATTTGTGAATATGAACAGAAGATGCTTGTTTAGGGTTTTATGATAGTTTTCGTTATTCAAAACCCTTTAACCCTATGTGGGGGAAGTACCAGAAGGAGTGTACCGATATAATCATCTTCACACCAGGCTTTGGGTTAATAAAAATATTGTGCTGTGTGTAATTTGAAGATAATCATTCATTTTATGACATTTATAATTATCCCAAATTTCGACCCTTTGTATGGCAGTTACTTCATGGAGTGGGTATTGTCCATTTTCGTACCTGACCCAGCACTGAAGAAAATATTAGAATTTGCAAAGTTAGAGCAAAATCGGATTATACTTTTTCTTTATGTGCAATAAAATATTTTTTTTGGAAAATTTGGAACTTTTGCGGGAGAAGTACCAAAAGGAGTGGACCGATATTGCTCATCTCCGAACTCGATCTAAGTTTGAGAGTAATATTACGATGAACCTATTTTGGACCAAATTGAATACCCCCTCGACAGTTATCGTGCATACCAGCCAACCAGACAGACAGACGAACGGACATCTCTAGATCGACACCAAATGTCATGAAACGGATTTGGTCTAAAGAGACCTAGAGTTTATAACCGTTATTTCGATGATGGCGGTTTTTTGCCCTATCAAATAACATATATCATCTCTAGCCATATGGCTGAGGGTAAATTAATTTGTCCAAAACTACTGAAATTTAGGTATGAATAAATTTAAAAATCTGAATGATTACCTATAGACATTCCAACTAGAATTTGGCGAAGATTAAGAAATTGCAGAATTTAAGGTATTGCAGAATGAGAAATAGAATGACAAAAAATTTTAAGGTGAGAGTATAAGGTGTAAGCCCGCTTTTTTAGTACAGATAATTGTTGTTGTTTATACAAGTGATATAGGCGATAACAATATTCTTACTCTGCTTAAAATTATTTATTTGTTGGAAAAGAGGGCAAAAAAATTTGAATTGTATTTGAGCACAAATATTTGCAGTTGAGGTTTCAAAATTAAAACGCGGCGCAGAATAACATCCTGTTAAAAATACTTGGAATTTAATGCCTCTTAACTTCAAATAAATTCAATTTAGAAGTTAGTACACTCCAGTTGTCGGAATTGACTATACAGAGGAAAATGGAAATATATTTTCTAATTACACTACTTATTACTATTGTTGCAATTTTTAGCGTAACAGCAGTCGACTATTGTAACTCGTCATTGTGTCCCAAAGGTGATACACATATTGCCTGCAAAAACACTGGGGTATGCGAAAACAAATATTTACCCCGACGAATAAAAATAAAATCGACTTTACTTTTTAGAAATTTCACTCCAAATGTTCCAAAGATGCTGCCAAGGTACAGATTGGCGCCAATCTGCAACAAATCATTGTCAATGCCCATAACAATAAACGTAATTTTGTAGCTGGTGGTAATATTGGCAAATTCAAGCCGGCTTGCCGTATGGCCACAATGAAATGGGATCCTGAACTAGCTAAGATAGCCTCATACAATGTTCTGCAATGTGAAATGTCTCACGACAAGTGTCGCAATACAGCAAAATTTAAATTTGCAGGTCAAAATCTGGCCTGGAGATCGTTTACGGGAACACCGAATGTCCAGCAGTTATTGATAGCTTCCATAAATGCCTGGTATGCGGAACAAAAATATACCAAATGGTCTCAACTCCAGTCGTATCCACCGAATTATAAGGGACCGTAAGTTAATGTTATCGTTTCTCTTTGCTAATCGATATTAGAAATGTATTGTTTTTTTCTTAGAGCAATTGGCCATTTTACTGCTCTAATGGGTGAGCGCAACATTGCGGTGGGCTGTGCTGCCTCCACGTATTCAACACCGGGTGTGGGTTATAAAACATTTTTAGTTGCCTGCAATTATGCAACCACAAATATGCTCGGTAAACCAATCTACACAGGTTGCTCTAAGGCAGCTGCTAGTTGTAAGGCTGGCAAAAATCCAAAATATCCCAATTTGTGTGCTCCCCAAGAAGTATACAATGTCAACAAATGGTAAATGTTTTAAAAAATAATTTCGAAATTATTGCAACATTTTATGTTTCAAAGCTTGAAGACAAAATTAATAAAACAAGTTAAAAAGTATCAGTCGGTATTGCCGCCAGATATATACCCTCAGCCCATGTTCGATTATCTAAATATATTTTGACTAGTGTTAAGATTATTCAAACGTTGACTCTCTATGGAGCAGATCCCGAAGGAATGAGCCAATATCGCCCATTTCCTATCGGAAATTTGGCGTTGTATGAGCTTCATGGATACTCAAAATTTCAATATTTTGTGGGGGAGGTACCAGAAGGAGTGGACCGATGTATTCCCCCTTCACACCAGACCATGGGTTAATACAAATATTAGGATGTGTGAAATTTGAAGACAATCGGACTTTTACATCACATTTAATGAGATTGTAATTTTTACCATTTGTGAGGGAGGTACTTGATGGAGTGGACCGATATTATGCATTTCCACACCTGACCTAGTACTGACGCAAATTTTAGGATATGCAAAGTTGGAGCAGAATCGGATTATTCTTTCTCGTTCTGTGCAAAAAATATATTTTTTGAACATTTCGACCTTTTGTGGGGGAGGTACCGGAAGGAGTGGACCGATATTGTTAATCTTAACACCAGACCTTGGGTTAAATTTGAAGACAATCGGACTCTTGCATCACATTTTATGAGAGTTGCAATTATACAAAATTTTGACCATTTGTGGGGGAGGTACTTGATAGAGTGGTCCTATATTGCCCATTTTCACACCTGACCTAGCACTGACGCAAATATTAGAATTTGCAAAGTTGGAGCAGAATCGGATTATCCTTTCTCTTTCTGTGCAAAAAATATATTTTTTGAAAATTTCGACCTTTTGTGGGGAGGTACCAGAAGGAGTGGACCGATATTGCCCATCTCCGAACTCGATTTAAGTTTGACAAAAATATTACGATGTAGCCAATTTGGACCAAATCGGATAATTTCTTCGAGAGTTATCGTGCGCACCAGCCAGCCAGACAGACAGACAGACGGACGGACATCGGTAGATCGACTCCAAATGTTCTGAAACGGATTTGGTCCAAAGAGACCTAGGGTCTAAAACCGTTATTTCGACTAGGCACGTTTTGGCCGTATCAAATGATATATACCCTCTGTAGCCATATGGCTGAGGGTATAAAAAACACAAATAACAAATAAAGCAGTAAAAGACCGGTGTGGAAAGAACATAAGTCGGGTGGGTCCCACTTAATGATATACCACACTACTATGGGCTTAACTTTAAATTCGGTTGAAACTAAGGTATAAGAGCTCGGTCTTTATTTGAATCGATTTTCGCTTTTTTGACGGAGGTATTTTTTAGTGACCTCGTGTACTAAATATCATTTCTATAAAATGCATATTATGGCTTTGAGAAGGCTTAATTTTAAAATCGGATAAAGAATAAATAATAATATGCATGGGAGCTATATCTTACTCTGACCCGATCTCGAAAAAATTTGACAGAGGTAAAGGGCGATGTTATAGCTATTATCTTTTTGCAGCAATGGTCTCACACACATTTCATGTTTTGTTTCTCTGTCAAGCATCTTCAGTTTGAAATTAATTTTAACAAAAAAAACTGTAAGTTCGGCCGGGCCGAACTTTGAATACCCTCCACGATATAGAACGAAATTGGCAATTTTCAAAACAAAAAAAAAAAAAAATAAAATTCCTTAAAATTTCTATTAAAATCTTAAAAATACCGAATTTAGCCGGTATATTATAGTCTATATGACGACATTTACCTCCATAAGCAACTTATGTCATAAGTCATTACAATATTCAAAAAAAAAAAAAAAAAAAAAAATCGGTGAATATTGTAGCTAAAATCATCGAAATATCGAATATCGGGAGATACCGTTGTATGGGGGCTATATGAAGACGTGGACCGGCACAGACAATTTTCTGTCTTAGGCTGTAGTATCCATTACGAACTTAAAATACCAAATTTGACACAATTCCGGTGATAAATGTCACTAAAATCAACAAAGTACCGAATATCGGGAGGTGCCGTTAAATGGGGGCCATACAAAGGACGTTGACCTGCACAGACAATTTTCTGCCTTAGGCTGTAGTATTCATCATGAACTTTAAACACCATCTTTAAAACGATTCTAGTGAATAATGTCGCCAAAATCATCAAAATACCGAATATCGGGAGGTGCCGTTATATGGGGGCCATACGAAGACGTGAACCGGCACAGACAATTTTCTGTCATAGGCTGTAGTAAGCATTACGAACTTAAAATACCAAATTTGAAACAATTCCGGTGAATAATGTAGCGAAAATCATCAAAATACCGAAAATCAGAACGTACTGATATATGGGGGCCATACGAAGACGTGGACCTGCACAGAAAGTTTTCTGTCTTAGGCTGTAGTATCCATTACGAACTTCAAATAGCAAATTCGAAACAATTCCGGTGAATAATGTCGCTAAAATCATCAAAATACCGAATATCGGGAGGTACTGATATATGAGGGCCATATGAAAACGTGGACCAGCACAGACAATTTTCTGACTTAGACTGTAGTATTCATTACGAACTTTAAACACCAACTTTAAAACGATTCTAGTGAATAATGTCGCCAAAATCATCAAAATGAGAATATCGGGAGGTACTGATATATGGGGGCCATACGAAGACGTGGACCTGCACAGACAGTTTTCTGTCTTAGGCTGTAGTATCCTTTATGGACTTAAAATACCAAATTTGAAACAATTCCGGTGAATAATGTCGCTAAAATCATCAAAACAGCGAATATCGGGAGGTGCCGTTTTATGGGGGCTATACGAAGGCGTGGACTTGCTCGGACAATTTTCTGTCATAGGCTGTAATATCTATTACAAACTACAAATACCAAATTTGAAACATTTCCGGTAAATTATGTCGCTTTAATCACCAAAATACCGAAAATAGGGAGGTACTACTGTAAGGGGACTGTACCAAAACGTGGACCTACCAGGACCAAGTCCTGCAGACATAATATACATTTGCGTAAAATTTTATCAACCTACTTCATTTCGTTCGGAAGTTAGAGTGATTTCCACAGACGAACGAACGGACATCGCTAAATCGACACAGAATTGTATGCTGATCAAGCAAATTTATACTTTGTGGGGTCTAAAATGTATATTTCGAGTTGTTACAAACAGAATGACAAACTTAATTTACCCTCCATACTATGCTGGAGGGTATAAAAACCAACGCGTGAACATGACAGGAACAGCTGACCATTAGAAATGCATGAACATGTCAAATTTAGTGCGCATGCACGAAGGGTTTGTCCTTCGGATTTATTAATTTCATAGCAAATGCCAAGCGTGCAGGAAACTGCAATATTTTAAAGTTGAGTGACATATCTGTTGCTATTAGAGAATTCGAGGTACCAACATACCTCTCCGCAATAATCGTATCCTCAATTAAATTGTTGTGTAGTTTTTTTTACTGTTAGCCTAATACCTGAACCGATTTCAATATAATTTGACAAAATTTACTTTTACATCTAATTCCGTCACACCATCCATATTTCATTGAAATTGGTGCGTCCAACATGTGAAATCGGCCGACAATATATATATGGGGACTATATCCAAATCTTAACCGATTTCTAATTAATTTGTAAAATGTATTATTGTAACCAAATTCCGCAACATATTCTGAATTTTATTGCAATCGGTCATATATATCGGGTTTGGTACATACCACACATGAAATCCGCTGAAATAAATATATGGGAGATATAGCAAAACCTCAACCGACTTTAAATAATTTGACTATATCTTCAGTTCCAAGTGGAATTTAAAGATTGTATATATTCAATGTTACTTTCAGGTGATGTTTTAATATACAGGGTGAGATGGCCTTCAAACGAATATTGCTCTGCGGTATTTTGGCCCATTCCCGGTTAAACGCTTGCTTGAGGTGGTCGACACTTTGGTATTTTTTTTGTGCCAACCTTGCTTTCCAAAATACTCCAGATACAATAGTCCAACGGATTGGTATCCGGAGATTTTGGTGTCCATTGTGCGCTGGAAATGAAGCGAGGAACCTCATTTTGTAACCATTTTTGGGTGGCGCCTGCTGAGAGCAATGGTGCTGAATCCTGTCGGAATGTCCAAGGTCTGCGACCAAAATGTTTGCTTGCCCAAGGCTACAATACTCCTGCCAGAATATTTTCGCGATAATATTCAGCATTTATTCGTCGATTAATACGAGCGAAGAGCGACCATTGGTTGTTATGGCGGCCCACACCATCACCATTGCCACCACTTGAGTTCTGGTGGCCAACCGAAGGTGCACATTTCCAGCTGACCTCTTTGGTAAGTAAACACGACCATTTTATTTGTTTACAAACTGCTGGACAACGAATGTTTTGTCATCGAAGAAAACATAATTCGGCAGTTCACCACTTTCGGCCAAGCGAAGCAACTCTTTAGCTCTGTTAAGTCTATTTTCTTTCTGTTGCGGTATAAGTTCTTGCACTGTTTGGAATTTCAATGGCTTTACCTCGAGTTTATTTTTCAATATTTGCCGAATGGAATATTACGATATGTTCTGCTCACCAGCCATTTTTCGGCCACGGCGACGCGGGTTTCGTTCAAATCGCTTCTTTACTTTTCGAACCATTTCAACTGATGTTGCTGTTTTCTTACGTCCACTTCCTTGACGTCGAGCTACGCTACCAGTAGCACGGTAACGAGCGATGGTACGAGACACAATAGATTTATTCACATTTAAATGCTGGAGTGCTCTAACTATATCCACTTGTGGTTGTCCAGGCAAATCTAAAGAAATCACACTATCACGCTTGAATACCATCACGAATAGCTTTTCTCACCAAAATGCTATTGTACGCTTGAAAACATTATAATGAGCTGGTACTGGAATAATTTCAACAGCTGTCGGACGAGTGGCTTGGAAATGACAGCAGTCTGAAGTAGGTTGCAGTTTTTTCATATCACCCTGTACTTAGGAATTTTAAGGAAAATCGGTGCAGTGATTTTCGAGTCCATAAATTACAAACAAACAAACATTTTCCCAATTTATAGATATAGAAGAAGAACCTGCAGGCATAACCGTTATTAAGGGGTGCAAATAAATGAATTTTTATTTGTACAAGTAATAGAAATATTTCAAATGACATCAGAGACAAACCTTTTTATACCCTCCACCTTGGAAAGGAGGGTATATTAACTTTGTCATTCCGTTTGTAACATCCTTAAATATTCGTCGTAGACCCCATAAAGTATTTATATTCCTAATCAGCATAAAATTCTAAGTCGATTTAACGATGTCCGTCTGTCTGCCTGTCTGTCTGTTGAAATTACGATACAGCCCACATTATTTGACGTAGAGCGCCAAAATTTAGCAGAGCAATTTGTATTGTGTCTAGTATGGTTGGTATTGAAAATGAGATATATCGGTCTACGTTCTGGTACAGTCCCCATATAACGGTACCTCCCGATATTCGGTATTTTGATGATTTATGCCACATTTTTTTCATGATTTTGTCTGAAAATTGGTATATGTAGGTCATAAAGGGTCCCAGTTCGTGTGGCAAAACATTGCATGTATAGGTCCACGCTTTTGTATAGCCCCCATATAAAGGTACCTCCCGATATTCGGTATTTTGATTATTTTTGCCACATTTTTTCACGTATTTGTCTGAAAATTGGTATTTGTTGGTCATAATGGGTTCTAGCTCCGTTGGCGAAACATTGCATGTGTAGGTCCACGATTTGGTATAGCCCCCATATATAGGTACCTCCCGATATTCGGTATTTTGATGGTTTTTGCCACATTTCTTCGCGGATTTGTCAAGAAATTGGTATTCGTTGGTCTTAATGGGTTCTAGCTCTTTCGGTGAAACACTGTATGTATAGGTCCACGTGTTTGTATAGCCAAATATAGCCGTATTTCCCAATATTCGGTATTTTGATGATTTTTGACACCTGGAATATCAAATATAGGTCTTAAATCCCATAAAATCTTTATTTGAATATGTTGTCCATATAGGTGTATCAATGCGGAAATTTGAATCATTACAACAGAAACGCGCACTCTCTCCCTCTCTTTCCAAAAACAAATTTTACTTAAAACGAAATAAAAATAAATAAATATTTGGGGCGTATAAAAACGCAAATTTTCAAAACACTTATTCGCGTAAATATTTGTTGTTATTTACTCAAGTGGGGGGCTCGACACAGATATGAGGAATTGTAATTAAAAATTATTACTCGTGTGTCAAAATTTTCCTACAAATTTCATTCAAAAACTTGTTAATTTGGAATAAAATCTGCAAAAGATATAAAAAATATTTGAGCACAAATATTTATCGTTGATTTATTTCTGTGTATAAACAAAATGGAAAATGTACGTAAAACTAATATCCTCTTGGCAGGTACAAACAGAGTACAAAACTAGGCATACACAAATAAGTAATTTCAAACTAGTTGGAGCTATAAAATAGTGAAGACGACCGAAGCGATTGGATATTTCGATAAAAAATGAAAATATATTTTTTAAAAGTTGTTCTTATAATTTCCGAATTTTTAGCTTCAGCCACTGCCAACTATTGTCATGCATCATTGTGTGCAAATGGGGTTAAACATATTGCCTGTAACAATACTGGGGTATGAAGCAACACAATTATGCTGATATCAAAAAAATTAAAATAATTTTTTTTTTTTTTTTTTAAGAAATTCTATGCCACCTGCTCCAATCCTGCCATGGTTCAAATGGGGCCTGCTCTGCGAAGACTCATTGTCGTTGAGCATAACACTAAACGCAACTTCGTTGCTACCGGGAGAATTGCCAAATTTAGGCCAGCCTGTCGAATGGCCACAATGAGATGGGATCCTGAGTTGGCTAAAATAGCTTCGTACAATGTACGCCAATGTAAAATGGAACATGATAAGTGTCGCAATACGGCAAAATATAAATTTTCAGGGCAAAATTTGGCCTGGAGATCGTACACAGGCACACCGAACTTTCAGCAACTGATCAGGCAGGCCATAAATGCCTGGTATGTGGAATATAAACACACCACATGGCGGCAGATGCAGTCCTATCCTCCGAACTATAGGGGACCGTAAGTAAAATCGAAGTACAATTCGTTTCAAGAAAATTTTATTCCCATTTTTACCATAGCGCCATTGGCCATTTTACAGCCATGATGGGTCAACGCAATATGGCTGTGGGCTGTGCTGCCTCCACATATTCGACTAAAGGTGTTAACTATAGAACATTCTTAATTGCCTGCAATTATGCAACCACGAACATGTTGAACAGATCAGTTTATACGGGTTGCGCTAGACCTGGTGTGAATTGCAAAGTCGGTAGAAATTCGCTGTATCCGAATTTATGTGCACCCAAAGAAGTCTACTATGTCAACAATTGGTGAATGGGAAATGTAATGAATAGAAAATGTTCAAATCTTGACATATATCAAAATATATTGAAAATAAAATATAACGGCTATTGATTTTTTTGTTTTTAATACCACCTAGTGGTAAGGCTATTATGTCTTTGTGTGGTTGTAATATAGAGAAGGAAACGAGATAGATTTATAGTTACTTTTGAGAACCTTCATAGAATCATTTTCTGAGTCGATCTATGCATGTCAGTCCGTCTGTGCGTGCAAATGACTTAAATTTTAGCACATCCGACCGAATTCAGTCTAGAAGTAGGTACATCAAATTTGGTGAAAATCGGTTCAACTATAGCTATAGCTCCAATATAAATGTTTCATCCGATTCCATTCTACAACAATAATCTTATGTACCAGATATCACATACAGAGAAATGAGTGGCTACAATTTTGTCAAAATCGTTTCAGATTTAGATATAGCTCCCATATATACTTCAACCGATTTCTGGTTAAATGTGCACCAAATGGCCAATATCAGTCCAAATTACCTAAATTTTGGCACATCCGACGGAATTCAGTCTAGAAATAAGTGTTTAAATTTTTTTGGTGAAAATCGGTTCTGAAAAATCTATAGCTCCCATATATATTTCATCCGATTTGATGTTAAAGTCCTTCACCCGTATAATATCTTATACCGGACATCAGATACAGATCGAAAAAAACCTTTACAAAAATTTTATAGAGATCGGTTCAATTTTTTTTAGCTTCGATATCCGATTTTACGGGTTTTGTTCACCATATACATATGTAATATCAGCCCAAATTGCAGAGATTTTTCCATATTCAACCAATTTTTTTCATTTAGTGAAACTCGGTGCGGTATATCTATTGATACCCCGATAATCGGTATTTTAATGATTTTACCCACATTTTTCAACGGAATTGTCTGAAAATCCACACAAGGAGTTTCTTGTGGGTACTTTATACCTCGAAAGAGAATTATCTATATAGGTCCACGATATCGTATAGCCCCCATATAACCGCACCGCCCGATATTCGGTATTTTGATGATTTTAGCCACATTTTCTAATGGAATGGTCTAAAAATCCACACAAGAAATTCCTTATGAGTACTTTATCAATTGAAAGAGAATTATCTATATAGGTCCTCGTTTTAGAGTGGGATGTATGTGTATTTTGTTGAAGCGAAGCAGCAGAAAACGGAACAAAGCCAAACAGTGGAAAATTTTACCCCTCTTAATTTTACCAAAAAAAAAAAAAAAAAAAAGTTTGTTTAAAAATGTTTGTTATATAAATAAAATTATAATAAGTAGACAAGTAAAAAAGCTGTAAATCCGGCCGGACCGAACTTTGAATACCCTCTACCCTTTGGAACTAATTTGGCAATTTAAAATTGGCAAAAAATAAAATCCGTTAAAAATTCTGTTAAGATCTTAAGAATACCAAATGTAGCCGTCATATTAGGGTCTAAACGACGACGTGGACCTGCATAGGCAACTTTTGTCATTAGTCATTACACTATTTAAACGCGAAACTTAAAAAAATCGGTGAATAATGTTGCTTAAATCATCAATATAAGGAGGTACTATTATATGGGGTCTGTACCAAAATGTGGACCTGCACAGACACTTTTCTGTCATAGACTGTAGTATCCATTACGAATTTCAAATACCAAATTTGAAACAATTCCGGTGAATAATGTAATTAAAATCATCAAAATACCGAACATCGGGAGGTACCGTTATATGGGGGCTATACGAAGACGTGGACCTGCACAGACAATTTTCTGTTTTAGGCTGTAGTATCTATCTCGAACTTCAAATACCAAATTTGAAACGATTCCGGTGAATAATGTAGCTAAAATCATCAAAATACCGAATATCAAGAGGTACCGTTATATGGGGACTTTAACAAAACGTGGACCTACATGGCCCATTTTCAATACCAAAAGTCCTGCAGACATAAAATAAATTTTAGTAAAATTTTATTAATCTACTTCATTTCGTTCGGAAGCTAGAGTGATTTCCACAGACGGATAGACGGACGGACATCGTTAAATCGACATAGAATTTTATGCTGATGAAGAATATTTATACTTTGTGGGGTCTAAAATGTATATTTCGAGGTGTTATAAACGGAATGACAAACTTAATATAGCCTCTATACTATGGAGGGTAAAACAATATATAAATAATTTTTCATTGAAATGAAATAGGTACTTATATTGATCGCGATACACGAGAAAATTTCAACTACTTCCGAAGAGAGGGTAAAAATGTAGTAACACTGAGTATACATATCAAACATAATCTATAAATATGTACAATCTACTCATCCTAGACACCAACATTGATCCACAATTCGTACCATTTACTTTTTTCGAACAACCATCAAATTTAGTACCACTTAGTACTTTTCGAACAATAGTAGTACGCATTTCCAAAACCACCTCCATATCCTAACTACAAACGCCAGCAGTGATCTTAACAAAAAATTTCGGAGTCCCAGCTCTATCGGATCACCTAAATTGAAATTATACGAAATTTAGTACCATTTAGAACTTTTCATGCACATAAGTACAAATTTCGAAAACTTCCTCCATATCCCAATTCTTAACGCCGCCAGTAATGTTAATTTCAAATTTGAAGATTCTAGCTCTATCCGTTCCTCCAAATTCAAATTGTACTAAATTTAGTACCGTTTAGTACTTTTCGTATACATGAGTACACATTTCCAAAAGTACCTCCTTAGATCGACACCACACCATAAGGAGTGGACACACCCCTAGAACGACTGCAAATGTTCTAAAACTGATTTAGTACAAAGAGACCTAGGGTCCACAAACGTTTCGATATTTCGATGAGGCACGTTTAGCCATATCAGCCATATGGCTGTGGGTATAAAAATAAAAATAAAAAAGTACTAATTCAACTAAATGTTTGTAGCATATTTACTCAAGTGTGGAATACCACAACGATTTAAGAAATTGTAATAGAATCAAAAAATTTCCTAAAAATTTCATTCAAAAAATATTCAAGTTGGGATAAGATCTGAAAATATTTGCAAACAAATATTTTATGTGTAAATAATATGAGCAATTTACGTAAAACTAGCATCCTGCCAGTAAAATCTAAAGAAAGCAAAAAACACGGCCTATATAAAGGCCTAATTTCAAAGCAATTGGAGCCATTACTAGCTACTTGTCGAAATTGAAAGCTCATTAAAGAACTATGAAAATAATTTTCCTGATAGCAGCACTTTTCTCTGCCGAAATGTTAGGCGCAGTCGCAGCCAACTATTGTGGCTCATCATTGTGTGCAACAGGTGTTACACACATTGCCTGCAATCACACTGGGGTATGAGGTTACAAAATTAAGTTAGTCAAAAAAAAAGAATTACATTTTCATATTTTTTAGAACTTTGAGTCCTCCTGTTCCCCCGACGCTGCCATGGTTGAAATTGGAAGAAATCTTCAACAATTCATTGTCACTGAACACAACAGCAAACGTAATTATATTGCTACCGGCAATATTGCAAAATTTAAGCCAGCTTGCCGTATGGCCACTATGAGATGGGATCCGGAATTGGCTAAGATAGCTTCGTACAATGTACGCCAATGTAAAATGGCCCATGATAAGTGTCGTAATACTGCAAAGTATAAGTTTTCAGGGCAAAATTTGGCTTGGAGATCCTACACAGGCACACCGAACATACAGCAGTTGATCAACGTAGCCATAAATGCCTGGTATGTGGAATATAAGTATACCACATGGCAGCAGTTGCAGTCCTATCCTTTGAATTATCAGGGGCCGTAAGTAAAAACTATTCAATTTGTATGAAACTTCAAAAGAAATAAATTTATGTCCACCTTTACTTTAGAGACATTGGTCACTTTACGGCCATGATGGGTGAACGCAACATTGCTGTGGGCTGTGCTGCCTCCACTTATTCTACCAATGGTGTAAATTACAAGACATTCTTAATTGCCTGCAACTATGCAACCACGAACATGTATAACAAACCAATTTATGTTGGATGCGCAAGACCAGCGGTTAATTGCAAAGTCGGTAGAAATTCGAAATATCCGAATCTCTGTGCACCCAAAGAAGTGTATAATGTCAACAAATGGTGAAGAGGAACATTGATGCCTACATCCGATTATATTGAATATATAATATTACGACTTGTATTATTTACATGTTGAAAGAAATATATTCAAATATTTTCAAATGTTCAAACGGTTTTATTATTTAAATTTGGTATGAAATGCATTTGCAATTATATGTGGGGTTTTAAATGCTATAAATGGAAATTTTATGAAAATAAATAAAACGCATATGCATTTCAGCCGGACTGAACGTTTTATACATTCCACTACAAGATCGTTTCATTATACTCAAACGATTTGAGAAATATGATATGGTCTTAAATAAATGCTTTCAATCCGGGGTAATCGACTCATACAGGATGGTATTACCGGTAGGGAACATAAATACCGGCTTTAGACCCATCGACATTTTGGAGACGGTGTCTGTACCAGTACTACAGAGTACAAAAGCAAATGAATGGTAAAAAGTAAAAAAGCATTAAGTTCGGCCGGGCCAAACTTTGAATACCCTCCACCATTTCGAACAAATTAGAAAATTTTCAAAAACATAAAATCCATTGAAAATTCTTTTAAAATCTTTAAAATACCTAATATCGGAAGGTGCCGATATATGGGGGGATATACGATATTGTGGACCGGGGGTAAAGGGGTAAAGTGCTCACAAAGAATCCCTTGGGTGGAATTTCAGACAACTCCATTGAAAAATGTGGCTGAAATCATCAAAATACCGAATATAGGAGGGTACCGTTATGTGGGGGATATACGATATCGTGGGGGATATACGATATCATAGGCGTATATAGACAACTCTCTGTCAGGGGTAAAGTGCTCACAACGCACCCTTTGTGTGGAATTTCAGACAATTCCATTGAAAAATGTGGCTAAAATCATCAAAATACCGAATATCGGAGGGTGCCGTTGTATGCGGACTATACGATATCGTGGACCTATATAGACATTTTTCTTTCAGGGGGTAAAGAGCTTTGGAGGAACTTCTAGTATGGATTCATAGACAATTTCATTAAAAAATGTAGCTAAAATCATCAAAATACCGAATATCGACTGGTACCGTTATATGGGGGCTATACGATATTCTGGACCGATATAGCCCATCTTCGAACCTGACTTGCCTGCAGACAAAAGAGAGATCTGTGCAAAATTTTAGCTTTCTATCTTAATTCGTTTAGACTGTAGCGTAATTACAACAGACGGACGTCTTAAAATTTTACGCTGATCAAGAATATACATACTTTGTTGGGTCTAAAATGATTATTTCGATGAGTTACAAACGGAATGACGAACTTTATATACCCTCCATATTATGTATGGTGGAGGGTATAAAAAATTTAGTATTTATTTACGAATAAAATTAGGTTTCTGAATTTTGGCGTTGAGGTCAGAATGAAAGTGATTTTGGAAATGCATACCGTAGATTTTCGAAAGGTACTAAATGGTACAAACAATTCCAATATTTGTCGATATTAGTGTGTAGGGTTGAGATTTAAAGTGGTTATGGAAATGAATACTAACGGAAACGAAAAGGACCAAGTGGTACTAAATTTGGTATTAGGTATCTGAATAACTGATTTATTCATCAATGCCTTTGCGAAATGACTGAAAGTAAAATCTTGACATTGTACTAAATGGTAATAAATTCGGTACTTTTTTGAACAAATGAACAAATTGATCTGTAATCTTAACATGTTGCTATTGGGGTCTACATGAACAGTGTTCAGCTAGAGGAGTTTTTATATATCGCAAATTTTAAATACCAAATTTTAAACGATTGGTGGAAAATTTTAGCTAAAGTCGCTAAAATACAGAATATTGAGTGGTGCTGTATTAGGAGGCTATACAACAATGTGAGCTTATACCGATCATGTTTTGTATGTAGAAACCCATTTCGAACTCTAAATACCGAATTTCAAATAATTCTGTCAAAATTTTTACCTAAATCGTGTGCAAATTTTTATACCCTCCACCATATTATGGAGGGTATATTAAGTTTGATATTCCGTTTGTAACACCCCGAAATATACATTTTAGACCCCACAAAGTATATATATTCTTGATCAGCATAAGATTCTATGTCGATTCATCATTGTCTGTCCGTTTGTCCATCTGTCCGTCTGTGGAAATCACTCTAGCTTCCGAACGAAATGAAGTAGGTTGATAAAATTTTACTCAAATGTGTAATATGTCTGCAGGACTTTTGGTATTGAAAATGGGCCATGTAGGTCCACGTCTTCATATAGCCACCATATAACGGTTCCCCCCCCCCTCGATATTCGGCATTTTGATGATTTTAGCGACATTATTTACCGGAATTGCTTAAAATTTCGCATTTGAAGTTCGTAATGGATACTACAGCCTATGACAAAAAATTGTCTGTGCCAGTCCACGTTTTACAACTCCCATGATTCCTCCCTATATTCGGAATTTTGATGATTTTAGCTACATTATAAACAGATTTTTTTCAAGTTTCGCATTTGAATATTGTAATACCTTGTGACAAAATTTGCCTATGCAGGTCCGCGTCGTCGTACAGACCCTAATATACGGCTACATTCGGTATTTTTAAGATTTTAACAGAATTTTTAATGAATTTTATTTTTTTTGGAAAATTGCCAAATATGTACTAAATGGTGGAGGGTATTCAAAGTTCGGCCCGGCCGAATTTACATCTTTTTTACTTGTTTTCATCTCAATATAAGAATATACTTTGTAGGGTATATGGTGAGATAAAAAACTGCAACAAAGTCAAACACCATAATTTTTATATATTTTTTTAAATTTTATCGAATGAAAGCAAAAAATGTCGGAAATAGCATTAAATTTTAAAAATAAATTTAGCTTGGTTCGAATTGGTCAACTTTGGCACGAATTATGACCTTCAAACGGCCAATGAAACCGTCACACGCTGCCCGAATGTTGTTCTGCGGTATTTTGGCTCATTCCCGGCGAAGCGCTTGCTTGAGGTGATCGACACTTTGGTTTTTTTTTTTAGTGCCAACCTTGCTTTCCAAAATATTCCAGACACATTGGTCCAATGGATTGCTATCCGGAGATTTTGTTGGCCATTGTGCGCTGGAAATGAAGTGAGGAACCTCAATTCATAACCATTCTTGGGTGGCGCCTGCTGACTGCGATGATGCTGAGTCCTGTGGGATTGTCCAAGGTCTGCGGCCAAAATCTTTGCCTGTCCAAGGCTTTAATACACCCTCCAGAATATTTTCGCGATAATATTCGTCATTTATTCTGATTCCACGGCCGATTAATACGAGCGAAGAGCTACCATCGGCTGTTATGGCGGCCCACACCATCACCATAGCCGGCGCTTGAGTTCTGGTGGCCAACCGAACGTGCACATTTTCGGCTGACCTCTTCGGCAAGTAAACACGATATTTTGGTTTGTTTACAAACTGCTGAACAACGAATGTTTTCTCACCGGAGAAAGCCAAATTCGACAGTTCACCACTTTCGGTCAGCAAAGCAACTCTTTAGCTCTTTTGAGGCTATTTTCTTTCTGTTACAGTGTAAGTTCTTGCACTTTTTGGAATTTCAATGGCTTTACTCCGAGCTCATTTTCCAACATTTGCCGAATGGAATATTGTGATATGTTCAGCTCACGAGCCATTTTTCGGCCACTGCGACGCGAGTTTCTGGTGGCCAACCGAAGGTGCACATTTTCAGCTGACCTCTTCGGCAAGTAAACACGATATTTTGGTTTGTTTACAAACTGCTGAACAACGAATGTTTTCTCACCGGAGAAAGCCAAATTCGACAGTTCACCACTTTCGGTCAGCAAAGCAACTCTTTAGCTCTTTTGAGGCTATCTTCTTTCTGTTGCAGTGTAAGTTCTTGCACTTTTTGGAATTTCAATGGCTTTACTCCGAGCTCATTTTCCAATATTTGCCGAATGGAATATTGTGATATGTTCAGCTCACGTGCCATTTTTCGGCCACTGCGACGCGAGTTTCTGGTGGCCAACCGAAGGTGCACATTTTCAGCTGACCTCTTTGGCAAGTAAACATGATCATTTTGTTTGTTTACAAACAGCTGGACAACGAATGTTTTCTCATCGGAGTAAGCCAAATTCGACAATTCACCACTTTCGGTCAGCAAAGCAACTCTTTAGCTCTTTTGAGTCTATTTTCTTTCTGTTGCAGTGTAAGTTCTTGCACTTTTTGGAATTTCTATGGCTTTACTCCGAGCTCATTTTCCAATATTTGCCGAATGGAATATTGTGATATGTTCAGCTCACGAAACATTTTTCGGCCACTGCGACGCGGGTTTCGATCAAGTCGCTTCTTTACTTTTCGAACTATTTCTGCTGATGTTGCCGGTTTCTTCCGTCCACTTCCCTGACGTCGGGCTACGTTACCAGTATCACGATAAGGAGCGATGGTACGAGATACAAAAGATTTATTCACATTTAAATGCTGGAGTGCTCTAACGATAGCCACTTGCGGTTTTCCAGCCAAATATAAAGAAATCACACTATCACGCTTGAATTCCATCACGAATAACTTTTTTTCTGGAAAATTCTCACCAAAATGCTTTTGTACGCTTGTAAACAATATAATGAGCTGTGACTCGAATAATATTAACAGCTGTCGGACGAGTGGCTTAGAAATGACAGCAGCCTCAAATTGGTTGTAGTTTTTTTTTATCTCACCCTGTATGTGGGGGGTATGAAAACAATTAAAACCTAGCCTCTTTGTGTGAAGATGGGGGGTTAAAACCATCATATTTTGCAACTATTCATTCACATTGTTTATTCAAGTGTAAATAGTACGCAGATACTGAAGTTTCAAATGTTGAAATATTCGCACACATTGTTTGCGATTTCGTTGAAATAGTATCTGAAGAAAAAAAATTGAAAAATATTCTAGTTGAAATAATAAATATTGAGATTTAAATATAAACATTACAAAAATGTACATAAACTTAACTTTGCAATAAGAAATTGAAAAAAAAAATGAAATTTAAACCTCAACAACACTGGAGATCGAACAAATTTCAAATAATGGAATTAAATTTCAAGAATGCAATGAAAATATATTTTCTAATAACATTACTCACTACTGCAGAATATTTAAGCGTAGCTGCCAACAAATATTGTAAATCTGCATTGTGTCCAGCAGGTGCTAGACATATTGCCTGCAAAAGACAGCCAGGGGTATGACACTACCAATTTCTATTAATAGAACAAACTTCTAATTGACGCTCTTTTCAGAAATTCTATGCTTCCTGCCCGAAAAATGCTGCCATGGTACCGATAGGAAAAAAGCTGAAAAGTCTCATTGTTAATGTACATAATAAGAGGCGTAACTATATTGCCGGTGGAAATGTTGCCAAATTTAGGCCAGCCTGTCGTATGGCCACAATGCGATGGGATCCTGAGTTGGCTAAAATGGCTTCGTACAATGTACGCCAATGTAAAATGACCCATGATAAGTGCCGAAATACAGCAAGATATAATTATTCGGGGCAAAATTTGGCCATGATATCGTACACGGAAACGCTGGATATGAAAGGATTAATCAAAACATCAATCGATGGCTGGTATGAGGAATATAAGAAAACAAAATGGAAGCAGCTAAGGTCTTATCCTACGAATTATAAGGGACCGTATGTTAATAAATAATTTTAATTTTTATTATTTTTAAGAATTTGATCTTACCTTAGAGACATTGGTCACTTCACAACCATGGTGGGGGAACAGAACATTGCCTTAGGTTGTGCTGCCTCCACATTTACCAGCAACGGTGTTATACATTTTTTACTGGCCTGTAATTATGCAACGACCAATATAGCTAAAAATCCCGTCTATACTGGTTGCGCTAGAGCGGCTTCCAAATGTAAAGCCGGCAGAAATCCAAAATATTCCAATTTGTGTTCTCGCAAAGAACGTTATAATGTCAACAAATGGTAAAAGTACTAATACATACATAAATACAAATACTGTTCCGGATTTTTTAAAGAATAAAATAATTACAAATAAACGTGGATTTTTCAAAGAATATTTTTTCATAGACCATCAGATCAGTAAATGTGGATTTTTTTAAGGAATATTTTTCAAGGACCAATAGAAAAATAAACACTGATTTTTTAAAGAATATTTTTTAAGGAACAACAGACCAGTAAACGTGGATTTTTTTAGGAATATTTTTTCATGGACCTTCGACCAGTAAACGTGGATTTTTTTAAATAATATTTTTCAAGGACAAATAAACGTGGATTTTTTAAAGAATATTTTTCAAGGACAAATAAACGTGGATTTTTTAAAGAACATTTTCAAGGACCATCAGAGCAATAAACGTGGAGTTTTTAAAGAATATTTTTCAAGGACCAATAAACTTGGATTTTTTATAGAATATTTTTCAAGGACCAATATTACAATAAACTTGGATTTTTTATAGAATATTTTTCAAGGACCATCAGACGCATAAACGTGGATTTTTTAAAGAATATTTTTCAAGGACCATCAGACGAATAAACTTGGATTTTTTAAAGAATATTTTTCAAGGACCATCAGACGAATAAACTTGGATTTTTAAAGAACATTTTTCAAGGACCATCAGACGAATAAACGTGGATTTTTTAAAGAATATTTTTTGAAGACCTCTAGACCGATAAACGTGGATTTTTTAAAGAATATTTTTCAAAGACCTCTATACCGATAAACGTGGACTTTTTAAAGAATATTTTTCAAAGACCACTAGACCGATAAACGTGGATTTTTTAAAGAATATTTTTCAAAGACCTCTAGACCGATAAACGTGAATTTTTTAAAGAATATTTTTCAAAGACCACTAGACCGATAAACGTGGATTTTTTAAAGAATATTTTTCAAAAACCTCTAGACCGATGAACGTGAATTTTTTAAAGAATATTTTTCAAAAACCTCTAGACCGATGAACGTGAATTTTTTAAAGAATATTTTTCAAAGACCCCTATACCGATAAACGTGGATTTTTAGACCTCTAGATTTTTAGACCTCTAGAAAAATATTCTTTAAAAAATTAACGTTTATCGGTCTGATAGTCTTTGAAAAATATTCTTTAAAAAATCCACGTTTATCGGTCTGATAGTCCTTGAAAAATATTCTTTAAAAAATCCACGTTTATCGGTCTAGAGGTCTTTAAAAAATATTCTTTAAAAAATCCACGTTTATCGGTCTAGAGGTCTTTGAAAAATATTCTTTAAAAAATTCACGTTTATCGGTCTAGAGGTCTTTGAAAAATATTCTTTAAAAAATCCACATTTATCGGTATAGAGGTCTTTGAAAATATTCTTTAAAAAATCCACTATTATTTTTCAAGGACCATCAGACGAATAAACGTGGATTTTTTAAAGAATATTTTTCAAGGACCTTCAGGCGAATAAACGTGGATTTTTTAAAGAATATTTTTCATGGACCTCTAGACCAATAAACGTGGATTTTTTAAAGAATATTTTTCATGGACCTCTAGACTAATAAACGTGGATTTTTTAAAGAATATTTTTCATGGACCATCAGACGAATAAACGTGGATTTTTTAAAGAACATTTTTCAAAGAGCTCTGGACCGATAAACGTGGATTTTTTAAAGAATATTTTTCAAGATCTTTTAAAGAATATTTTATATTTTTTAAAGAGTATTTTTCAAGGACCATCAGAACAATAAACGTGGATTTTTTAAAGAATATTTTTCAAGATCTTTTAAAGAATATTTTATATTTTTTAAAGAGTATTTTTCAAGGACCATCAGAACAATAAACGTGGATTTTTTAAAGAATATTTTTCAAGATCTTTTAAAGAATATTTTATATTTTTAAAGAGTATTTTTCAAGGACCATCAGAACAATAAACGTGGATTTTTTAAAGAATATTTTTCAAGATCTTTTAAAGAATATTTTATATTTTTTAAAGAGTATTTTTCAAGGACCATCAGAACAATAAGCGTGGATTTTTTAAAGAATATTTTTCAAGATTTTTTGTAATCAAGCTACAGGTCGCAATTATGAACCGATCCTCATGAAATTGAAATTGGAGGTGGGGATGATTGCAAAATATTTAAGGGTTGAAATGGGCCAAAAACAGAAAATTTTCTTGATTTTGCAGTTGCTCTATAGGCCACAGTTATGAACCAATCGACGCGGAAACTTACATGGAGTTAGAGTTTAGGAGTGGGCAGAAACCTACCAATTTGGGCGGCCATCGGACAATAATTAGCGGGTGAAATAGTCCCTAACTTGTATGTAAGAAAATAGGAAAATTTCCACTAAAGCGCGAAAATTTTCAACCCCAACCAAATCACAAACACATTAAAAGATCACTTCTGACCATTACAGTGATGCTAATAGCCAAGAAATCGGATATAGAGCAAAATTGGTACCATATATATGTAAAAGAATTGTTCTTATGTATTCTGCTTATAAATCTAGAACCGCTGGGCCGATTTTCACAATTCCCATTAATTCGGAATGGTCTTTTACCAGAAAAGCAGAAAATCTAAGAAAATCGCGGAATAATATACCAATAAAAAAGTAAATATTTTTTGTTCCATTATTTTTAATTCTTGTCATATTTTTTTATCGCGTGCGATTTTTTCAATTGACTTACAAATTTTAATTTTAAATTTTCTAAATGTTTACACCCTTCAACACTACGTTTTGAGGGTTTTATATGCATGTCGCAATTATCGTCCGATCCTCACGAAATTTGGCATGGGGGTAGGGTCAGAATGCCTATTGTTCTTAAGATGTACATTTAGAGGTGCAAATGGACTAAAAAAATTTATTTTTTTCTAATTTTGTAGTCGCTCTATAGGCCACAATTGAAACTAATCGACACGGAATTTCGCATCGGAATAGAGTTAAGGACAGGGAAGAAGTCTAGCATTTTGGATGACCATTGGATTACTTTTAGCTGTAAAATGGACCACAACTTTCACAACTTTTGCCAAATTCTCCGGGCCAAAAAAACAAAAAGGGTAACCTCTGGGCGTGGCTCTTTGACATTATTTCAAAAACGAAATCCTCCAAAATGGATTTGGATATAAGCAGACTTCGAACATATTGTAGTGTTGTGGGGTATCACATGGTCGGCCCCGCACGACTATAGCCTTTGCTTACTTGTTTAAAGAATATATTTAAAGGACCATTAGACCAATAAACGTGGATTTTTTAAAAAATATTTTCAAGGACCATCAGACCAATAAACGTTAATTTTTTAAAAAATATTTTTCAAGGACCGACAGAACAATAAATGGGGATTTCTTAAATAATATTTTCAAGGACCATCGGACCAATAAACATGGATTTTTTAAAGAATATTTTTCAAAGACCACTAGACCAATAAACGTGGATGTTGTAAAGAATATTTTTAAATGACTAACAGAACAATAAACGCGGAGTTTTTAAAAATATTATAGGATCATCAGATCGATAAACGTGGATTTTTTAAAGAATAATTTTCAAAGATCATCAGACCAATAAACATAGATTTTTTAAAGAATATTTTTCAAGAACCATCAGACAAATAAACGTGGATTTTTTAAAGAATATTTTTCAAGGACTATCAGACCAATTAACGTGGATTTTTTAAGGACCATCAGACGAATAAACGTGGATTTTTTAAAGAATATTTTTCAAAGACCTATAGACCGATAAACGTGGATTTTTTAAAGAATATTTTTCAAAGACCTCTAGACCGATAAACGTGGATTTTTTAAAGAATATTTTTCAAAAACCTCTAGACCGATAAACGTGGATTTTTTTAAAGAATATTTTTCAAAGACCTCTAGACCGATAAACGTGAATTTTTTAAAGAATATTTTTCAACGACCTCTAGACCAATAAATGTGGATTTTTTAAAGAATATTTTTCAAAGACCTCTAGACCAATAAACGTGGATTTTTTAAAAAATATTTTTCAAGGACTATCCGACCAATAAACGTGGATTATTTAAAGAATATTTTTCAAAGACCTCTAGACCGATAAACGTGGATTTTTTAAAGAATATTTTTCAAAGACCTCTAGACCGATAAACGTGGATTTTTTAAAGAATATTTTTCAAAGACCTCTAGACCGATAAACGTGGATTTTTTAAAGAATATTTTTCAAAGACCTCTGGACCGATAAAAGTGGATTTTTTAAAGAATATTTTTCAAAAACCTCTAGACCTATAAACGTAGATTTTTTTAAAGAATATTTTTCAAAAACCTCTAGACCGATAAACGTGGATTTTTTAAAGAATATTTTTCATATACCTCTAGACCGATAAACGTGATTTTTTTAAAGAATATTTTTCAAAGACATCTAGACCGATAAACGTGGATTTTTAAAGAATATTTTTCAAAGACCTCTAGACCGATAAACGTGGATTTTTTAAAGAATATTTTTCAAAGACCTCTAGACCGATAAACGTGGATTTTTTAAAGAATATTTTTCAAGGACCTCTAGACAATAAACGTGGATTTTTTAAAGAATATTTTTCAAAGACCTCCAGACCGATAAACGTGGATTTTTTAAAGAATATTTTTCAAGGACCATCAAACCAATAAACTTGGATTTTTTAAAGAATATTAGAATATCAAGGACTATCCGACCAATAAACGTGGATTTTTTGAAGAATATTTTTCAATGACCATCAAACCAATAAACGTGGATTATTTAAAGAATACTTTTTAAAGAACCACTAGTCCAATAAACGTCGATTTTTTAAAGAATATTTTTCAAGGACAATCAGAGCAATAAGCCTGGATTTTTTAAAGAATATTGTTCAAGGAACATCAGAGCAATAAGCGTGGATTTTTTAAAGAATATTTTTCAAGAAATATTAGAGCAATAAACGTGGATTTTTTAAGGAATATTTTTTAAGGACAATCAGACCAATAAACGTGTATTTTTTAGTATATTTTTAAAGGACCATGATTTTTTGATGGATTTTTT